TGTGGAGCAGAGGAGCAAAATTAAGGGCAGGAGATGGACCATTTTGTTCTTCTTCACCCTGTTATCACTGTAGGTAACCCTTTTTTTATACAAATTTTTAAAAGTATTTGTTTATTTGAAAGGCAGAGTTAGAGCGAAAGATGGAGAGAGACACTCAGAGAGAGATCTTCATCCACTGGGTCACTGGGTCATTCCCCAGATGACTGCAGTGGCAAGGGCTGGGCAAAATTGCTTCACCAGGGTCTCCCACCTGGGTGGCAGGGCCCCAAGCACTTGAGCCATCTTCTGCTACTTTTCCCAGGCTATTAACAGGGAGCTGGATCAGAAGTGAAGCAGCTGGGACACGAACTGGCGCTGATTCGAGATGCCAGCATCACAGGCAGTGGCTTTATCCACTGTACGGTAATGTCAGCCCCTGTACTTCGGTCTTGACTCTGATTTTCCTTACTTTAATGATCTCTCTGTTGTTAGTTGTAGAGTGTATACAGTACTATTCTGTACCTTTCTGTATCTGGATTTTCTTAATATTGTTGTTTTTGCCTTCATCTGATCTTGACAGTACCTAGGAGCATGTTTGAAATAATTTTTTGATGTTCAGGCTGTTTGACCCCTCTAGTCTTAAGGGCTCTAACCCACTTAAGGGGTGGAGGGGTTGTATTTTGTTTGCTAAGAACCAGATGTAACTGCTTCAATGGAGCCTTGATAGTTTAGGAGAAAAGACCTTTGTTCCCTATGAGTTTTTCATTGAAAGACTTCCTGTGCAATGACAAATGGTATCAACATCATGACATAGGAGTAAGGAAAGAATGTATTTTATGCTTTCTGATCTGAAATTATTTTGGAAGCCTTTGAGAAGATTTTATAAAAGATTTGGATTAGTTAGGACTTAGAGTTGTCGTCTTCTCTGTTAACAGCTGATAGAGAAATATATTGTGCTAGCTAAGAATTTGTGAATTGTAACTGCTTCTGATGAATGGTACTCTTTCTAATAAGGATTTCTTTTTTTAAAAAAGATTTATTTATTTATTTTAAAGTCAGAGTTATACACAGAGAGAGAGAAGTCTTCCATCCGCTGGTTCACTCCCCAATTGGCCGCAACTGCCAGAGCTGCGCTGATCTGAAACCAGGAGCCAGGAACCTCTTCCGGGTCTCCCATACGGGTGCAGGGACCCAAGGACCTCTGGGCCATCCTCTACTGCTTTCCCAGGCCATAGCAGACAGCCGGATTGGAAGTGGAGCATCTGGGACTAGAACCAGCACCCATATGGGATGCCGGCGCCTCAGGCCAGGGCATTAGTTAACCCACTGTGCCACAGCACTGGCCCCTCTATTAAGGATTTCTAATCAGTAAGCTGGAATATTCAGATATGTAAGGCAACTGCCTGACCCTCTGGTTTGCCACTGTGTTTTCTGGGATTATTATTAATAGAGGAAAGATGCAGGAAGCCTGCACTGTCAAGAGTAAATTGAATGATTATAGAGGCCATCCCTGCTTAATGACCAGCAGTCTTAAGAGTGGCTGCTGCCTCCAGGCTTTGTGCCCTTTTGTCATGTCCATTTGGGAAGAAAGCTTGGAAGGGTCAGCTCCAGAATGGGTAGTTGATTCTATGTAAGTGGTTGAGTTGTAAATTATGTTACTGTCTTTATTATACTTGTTGGTTTGTAATTTTCTGCTAAATCTTATTTTTGCTGTTAAAACCAAATCAAATGAAAACAGCTGAATAACATTTTCAAAAATTGTTTAATTTTAGAAAAAATAAAATCAAAACTGGTAATCAGACTTCTGGATTCCAAAAAATAAAAATTAACTCTGACTATTCTGAATGATTGAAGCAGGTGGTGGAGTCAACAAAAAAGCCTTGGTCGTACCAGTGGATTGGATCAATCTTGGGAATCCTGGCCACTGGACACACCCTACCAGGGTAGCTGGTCACCAGTTGTGACCGTGAATTTCTTTTTCTTTTCTTTTTTTTTTTTAACTTTTTTTTATTTTTTGACAGGCAGAGTGGACAGTGAGAGAGAGAGACAGAGAGAAAGGTCTTCCTTTGCCGTTGGTTCACCCTCCAATGGCCGCCGCGGCCGGTGCGCTGTGGCCGGCGCACCGCGCTGATCCGATGGCAGGAGCCAGGAGCCAGGTGCTTTTCCTGGTCTCCCATGGGGTGCAGGGCCCAAGCACCTGGGCCATCCTCCACTGCACTCCCTGGCCACAGCAGAGAGCTGGCCTGGAAGAGGGGCAACCGGGACAGAATCCGGCGCCCCAACCGGGACTAGAACCCAGTGTGCTGACGCCGCTAGGCAGAGGATTAGCCTAGTGAGCCGCGGCGCCGGCCCTTTTTTTTTTAAACTTTTATTTAATGAATATAAATTTCCAAAGTACAGCTTATGGATTACAATGGCTTCCCCCTCATAACGTCCCTCCCACCTGCAACCCTCCCCTTTCCCACTCGCTCTCCCCTTCCATTCACATCATGATTCATTTTCTATTCTCTTTATATACAGAAGATCAGTGTAGCATACATTAAGTAAAGATTTCAACAGTTTGCTCCCACACAGAAACATAAAGTGAAAAATACTGTTTGAGTACTAGTTATAGCATTAAATCTCAATGTACAGCACACTAAGGACAAAGATCCTACATGAGGAATAAGTTCAGTGACTCCTGTTGTTGACTTAACAAATTGACACTCTTATTTATGGCATCAGTAATCACCCTAGGCTCTTGTCATGAGCTGCCAAGGCCATGGAAGCCCCCTGAGTTCACCGACTCTGATCATATTTAGACAAGGCCATCGTCAAAGTGGAAGTTCTCTCCTCCCTTCAGAGAAAGGTACCTCCTTCTTTGATGACCCGTTCTTTCCACTGGGATCTCACTCACAGAGATCTTTCATTTAGCCCCCCCCCCCCCCCCCCGAGTGTCTTGGCTTTCCATGCCTGAAATACTCTCATGGGCATTTCAGCTGGATCCGCATGCCTTAAGGGCTGATTCTGAGGCCAGAGTGCTGTTTAGGACATCTGCCATTCTATGGGTCTGCTGTGTATCTCACTTCCCATGTTGGATCGTTCTCTCCCTTTTTTATTCTATCAGCTAGTATTTGCAGACAGTATTCCTGTTTATGTGATCCCTTTGGTTCTTAGTCCTATCATTATGATCAGTTGTGAACAGAAATTGATCAGTGGGACTAGTGAGATGGCATTGGTACATGCCACCTTGATGGGATTGAATTGGAATCCCCTGGTATGTTTCTAACTCTACCGTTTGAGGTAAGTCAGCTTGAGCATGTCCCGAATTGCACATCTCTTCCCTCTCTTATTCCCACTCTTATATTTAACAGTGATCACTTTTCAGTTAAGTTTCAGCACTTAAGAAGAATTGTGTATTGATTACAGTATTCAACCAAACGTATTAAGTAGAACAAACAAAAAAAATACTAAGAGGGATAACATATTATTATACATATATACATATATTCCATGTGACTTTGGTGTCTGTGACCCTGTAGCACTCCCTTGGAGGGTCATATCCAGCAGTGAGAGTGTTCCAAGCCAAGCTTGGGCCCCGGGCCTGTGCCTTGCTGCCAGGGAGGTGCCTAGATCTTGAAACAGTGCTTTATGCCGACTCCAGTTGGAACTTTTCTTAGCATCTGTTGAAACCCATGGCCTGAGAAGAAGAATAACAATGATTTTGTTAACTTGATATTGAGCTATAAGGGATTTGAATGAGGTAAGCACCACCTTTAAAAGGAATCTGTCCTGACTTGAAAATGATCGTTAATTGCCATGATTCAGTCTTTAGAGCCTGTTACTGTTTGGTTGGGGGAGTATGGGGTAGTTACTTTGACAGAAAAGTTGATTTCTGTGTATGCCTTGCCTTTGACTTTGGACCATTTTACTTGTTAGTTGTGCCAAACGTAACAATACAGTAGTTTCTTAGTGCTGTAGTTAGGAGAATGTTCTGCTGCTGTTGCCTGTTTATAAGCATTTAAATGCTTTCCCCTACTTCAGTCCAAGACTTGAATGTTTATAAATCACCTAAAACAAAGTAGGAACATAGAGGTACCTTGAGTTGATAGCTGTGGACAGTGCTTCCTTCAGTTCTTAACACTGGCTTGTGGCTCTGAGCAAGCACCCACTCTGTTGGGTCTGCTTGTCGACCCCATCTCCACTCAGTCTTTGGGACAGCTCTTGGCTTAACTAAGTCAAGATGTTAAAGTATTTATAATGGTCACAGCAAAAGTTCTGTGACCACTCTTCAGTCTGTTTTGCATTTTTCCAGTCAGAATGTGAGATTTAAGAAGTATTTAGTATCCTTTCAAAAATGAAAACCCTGTGGGCTCCAGAAGAAAAAGGGATAGCTAAGAATGTTCTCTCCCCTGAGCTGTGATTGATTTCGGTGAAGCACATTTGTGTGATAAACAAGAATATTTGCGCATTCTTCCCGCAGGAATTCAAACATTCAGCTGAGGTGAGCAGAGGTGGAAGTGTGCTTTTTTTGGGGTATGTTGAGGAGACTGCATAATTTCACATAGACTTGCGATAGGGGTAGGGATGGAGAGAGTGTTAGGACAGATCACACAGATTAGGTTTTTCTCTTCTTTACTTTTTCAGATTAAAAAGTCATCTTGTAGCCCACAGAATGGTATTTCAGAAAGTCACACCTTTCCAAACCACATCTGTGCTTTTGAGAGTCGTTTGGTAAGGGGTGGAGGGAGGGGGGTGACTGGGATGCCATGGATTTCTGGTAGTCTCCAAGAGAGCTGATCGCAAATGGTATTCTGACCGCTCCCTGGGCACTCTGCCTGTCCTGGCAGAAACCTGACTTCATGGTATCTCCTGCTGTAATTTAGAGTGAAGCCCCAGACCAGCGTCTGTCCCTTTGGAGACGTTACATCATATTCTGCATCTTGCAGCACTGCCTGGGAACAGTGCTCCCAAAATGCTGCTGTGGCTTTATTGGCACATTTCTGAAGGTGGTTCTCTTGACTGATTTCATTTATTTATAGTTCCTTGATGAAAGTCTTGAAGCTGTTCATCTCACTTGCTTGGGTGTGGTATTTCCCGCCTGGTGCCTGTGGCATTTCTCTTGGCTCCTGTTGGTGAGTTGTGTTGCACTGGTTCTTTTCTCTCGGCAATCCCTCCTGCAGGCTGCTGTTGTCACAGTGTCACACGGGGAAAGAGGTTTGGTTTAGTGTCAGGGGTTTTGGACTTTGTAATCATGGGCCTTTCACTGGCAGTGTGAGCTTAAATGGCTCACTTACATTTTGCTTACATCTTTTCTTCATCTGTAAAACAGAATAAAACCATTTTTGCCCTTCACAGCAACACTGTTATCAGAAGCAGTAATTTTGTGTTTCAGAGAATCAGCTGCTTGAAGATTATAGTTCACACCATTATTTTCTGTACCACTAAGAAAAAAAAAATAACTGCCAATTGAACTGTGATATACCATTGATTAGAAGATGCAGGGTGTTATTATGAATTAAGGATGGAAAGGTACATATTGGAGTAAATGAAATGTGTTATGTGAAAGTACCATTCTTTGTATTGCTGTCTGCCTACCTCTATTTCTATTTCTCTTAACAAAGTTCCTGAGGCTGGTACTTTATATTATTCGGCTCACAGTTTTGGAGATTGAAAGTCCAAGATGAGGCATCCCCATCTGTTTGGCTTCTGGTGCAGGCCTTGTAGTGAATGGCATCCCTGCAGTGGGAGCATGTATATGAAAGGGACCGTGTGGTCAGACAGGAAGCTAGAGAGGTTTAGGAACCAGGCTTGCTCTTTTCAGAACAGCTGCTTTTGCAAGAGCAGACCATGGTCCTGAAGAATGGTCTGGATCCCCTTTGAGGGTGGTCCCATAGTAGCAAAACCTCCTCCCACCAGGCTCACCTCCTAATGGTCCCGTCACCTCTCAGTATCACCATACTGGGAACCAAACTTCCAAACACATGAACCTTTGAAGGACAGACTCAGACTATATCCCAACCATAACATTGTTAAGAGTGGTATTTTAGAAGCCAGAAGCCTGAAATTTCTCAACTATAGAATCACATCCTTCACGAAATAGCAAGATGTCCAGCATGATCTATATTGAAGTGTGACATTGACAGCACCTGAGGGCTTGTTAGAACTGTGCCTTTGCAGACCCTGCTCCATTCCTAGGGGATCAGAAACTCAGGGATAGGGCCCAACAAGTTGGTGCTTTCCCATGCTCTGTGACTCTGATATATGCCAAAGGTTGTGGACCACCTATTTAAAGCAAGCCTATTTCAAGTTTCTCCCTTCCCTTCCCCATCCCCTCCCCTCCCCCCCTCCCCCTGTTGTACATATAGAAGTACTAAAACTACTAGAATATAAGTGAATTCCCCCTTCCCAAATAAATTATTCCCCAGGGAAAAGCTTTGTGTACCATCTTTCATAGTGGGGGAGTGATCTCATTGACTTTATTTTGAATAGCAGAGAATTCTTTGTGATGACATTTTCTAAATTGAAATGATTTCCATCTTTGCTAATTTTAGATATACTTAGAATTCACTAATAGAAGTAGTAAAAAAGACAGGAATTTAAACATTGATTTTTATAGTTATCATATTTGTGTGTGTCATATCTGTAGCACCTTTTAAAGGTCATAGAAAAAAGCAAAGCAACAGAGGATAGTGATGAGTGTATGAGTGTGTGTGTGTGTGTGTAAAATCAAATGCAAGAACTACCTGACCTGAAAGAATATTTATTTCTGACTTGGGACAACAGTTCCTATGGAAATATCATGTATGTTTCAAACACAACTGTTTATACCCAATCATCTGAAACAGCTCAGAAGTGAAGATGCTGCATTTTAGAAAACCATCTGTAGGGGCCATTGCTGTGGCACAGCTGGTTAAAGCCATCACCGGCAGTGCTGGCATCCCTTAAGGGCGGCAGTTTGAGTCCGGGCTGCTCCTCTTCCGATCCAGCTCTCTGCTATGGCCTGGGAAAGCAGTGGAGGATGGCCCATGTCCTTGGGCCCCTGCACCCACAAGGGCGATCTGGATGAAGCTCCTGACTCCTGGCTTCAGATTAGTGAAGCTCTGGCCATTCCCACCATCTGGGGAGTGAACCAGCAGATGGAAGATTGATCGATCGATCGATCGATCGATCTCTCTTTCTCTGCTTCTGCTTCTCTGTAACTCTGCCTTTCAAATAATTAAATAAATCTTAAAAAAAAAAAAGCCATGTGTAGATTAAGAACTGACTTGACTGATGAGTCCAGTGGTGACACAGAGGCATGTAAATAAACATGGGAGTCTGGTGTTGTGGTGCAGTTAATTAAGTTGCTGCCTGCAGTGCCAGCATCCCATGTGGGCACTGGTTTGAGTCGTGACTGCTCCACTTCTAATCCAGCTCTCTTCTAATGTGCCTGGGAAAGCAGTGGAGGATGGCCCATGTCCTTGGGCCCCTGCATCCACAAGGGCAATCCGGATGAAGCTCCTGGCTTCAGTCTGGCTCAGCCTTGGCCATTGTAGCATCTGGGGAGTGAACCAGCAAGTCTGTCTGTGCCTCTCCTTCTCTCTGTAACTTTGCCTTTCAAATAAAGAAATAAATCTTTAGAAAAGAAAGAAACTTGGTTCATGATGGTGTAAACAATCTTTCTAAATTGTATTCTATAATATGAATTTAAATAGATACTCATGTACTTAGTAATCAAATATTAAAAGTAACCATTTGACCATTTCCTCTGTATTCCTAAAAATGCAAGGAGTTTTTTTGAGAGCAGTTGCTAAGTAATGTTTGTAGTTCCCAGAAAGCCTGGCATTATTCTGCTACTTCTTTCTTCTCCTTAATAAGATTCTTGTGTTCTTTGAAACCATTACCTCTTCTCCCATGCATGTGATGACTTCTTTCCTTTCGCACCCCGGGAATAAGAAAACCTTTTGTCTGCCTCCTATCCCATCTGGTGTACACTGAATTACTGCCTCTACCTTCAAGGCCTTGGTGTTTTCTTCTTTATTTCTCCTGTATGTATGCTGGTTACAGTTGTAAGGCAGTACTTAGGTAAGTGGCTAGGAGCATGAACTTTGAGGCACTCTTGGTTTGAAGGATGGCTTATCCACTGTTTAGTTTTATATCTATCGGCAAGTTACTTGATCTTTCTCAGTTGTTAGAGATTGACAGTCATGGTTTGCTGGATTATTTTAAGGACTGAATGGAGTGGCACAGAAAAAGGAACAGTAAATGCTGTTACTCAATTTGTTGGAGTATTTAGTTCATCATAGACATGTAGAGAATCTCTCACGTATGGAATAGAAATTTTCTTGAATTGCCTAGTAATAGATTGAAAGGCAGTAGTAATCTGTAGATGAAATATTGGTATATACAGACACAAAATCTTATTTGTTAGTAAATACATATGCATTGTTTGCTTATTTTTAACATTTTGAAGTCTTTAACATTTAAATATAGTTCACAGATACAATGATATTCTCTTCCTCCTTATTTGCATGATTTTAAACAGGATTTAATTCTGTCCTTTTGTTTATAAAAAAACATGATGTTACTTCGTAGTGGCAACTACTGTTAAAATCTGCGTGCTCTTTCCTGTTTTTCTATTTTTTACATGACTGAAATTTCTGAAGTAGAGTTAATCTCATTTTCTTAATAATAACTGATATAAAAGCATTCTTAATGTAAATCTGAACTGGGTATGTGAATTTTGTATGAAGAACGAAAACATTTAACTTGGCCTTATTTTCACAGAATTATAAACTATTAAAATTAAATTCATTTTGTTCTTAATAAAATTTATCATCATTACCTCTGTGAGCCAGTTTGTAGGATGAACAAAGAATGATGAAGTATTGTTTCTGGTGTAATATTCTCCTTCTCTTCCTCTTCCTGTCTCGTCTCTTCTTCTCAAGATTTTATTTACTTATTTGAGAGGTAGAGACAGTGAGAGAGAGAGAGACAGAGAGAAAGGTCTTCCTTCTGTTGGTTCACTCCCCAGAGGGCCACAACGGTGGCTGGAGCTGTGCGGATTGAAGCCAGGAGCCGGGAACTTCTTCCAGCTCTCCCATGTGGGTGCAGGGGCCCAAGCACTTGGACCATCTTTTGCTTTCCCAGGCCATAGCAGAGAGCTGGATTGGAAGAGGAGCAGCAGGGACTAGAGCTGGCATCCATGTAGGAGGCCGGTGCTGCAGGCAGAGGATTAACCTGTGCCATGGCGCTGGCCCCTCCTTTCCTCCCTCCCTCCCCTCCCCCTCCCTCCTTTCCCTCGATCCCTTGCCACCCCCCCCCTTTTTTTTTAAAGATTTATGTATTTATTTGGAAGGCAGAGAGAGTTAGAGAGAGAGAAAGAAAGAAATTCTGTTTGCTGTTTCACTTCACACATGGCCTCAAGAGCCAGGGCTGGGCCAGGCTAAAGCCAGGAGCCAGGAGCCTCATCTGGGTCTCCTACATGGGTGGCAGGGGCCCAAGCACTTGGACCATCCTTCACTGCTTTCACAGGCTGTTAGCAGGGAACTGGATGGGAAGTGGAGCAGCCAGGATTCGAACTGGTGCCCAGATGGACTATTGGTGCTACAACACAGTAGTTTAACCTGCTACACCACAGTGCCAGTCCCTTCTTTGTTTAAAAATGGTTAATGTTATTTATTTGAAATATATAGTGACAGAAATTTTCCATCTTCTGGTTCACTCTCCAAATGACTGCAAAAGCCAGGCCAAGAGCCAGGCCAGAGTTCTGGAATTCCAACCTGTTTTCCCACTTAGCCCTAGCCCTTGGGCTGTCTTCAGCTGCCTTCCCAGGTGTATTAGCAGGGAGCTGGACTGCAAGCAGAGCAGCCAGGACTTGAATTGGCATTCCAGTTTGGGATACTGATGTTTCAAGTGGCAGTTTAATCCTCTGCACCACATTGCTGGCCCTTGGTATAATGTTTTCCATGAAAATGTAGTTTTTACTTTATTTTTATAGGAACTATTACAGGGAGCCTTCATTTTTGTGAAAGTAGTTGAGAACTTCATCTCATTTTCTAATCATCTCCCCAGATTCTCTTTGCAAGTTACTGTGTTTTGAAGGGCTTGTCATTGTCTGCTTATCTTGTTTTCCCCACTCTAGTTTAGAGCC